CAACAATATCTAATAAGGAAACACCGCCTGCTTTTGAATTTGGTCAAAGATATTGCAGATAAGCCAGATTTTCATCTTTTACTATATATTTTTTTTTAACAAAGAGTTTTTTTTCTCAAAAGATCGTCAATCATCATCATTTCCACTTTCAGCAAAGAATGCATTGCTCCGACATATAAAGACTGAGATCACTCTCCGTGTTGTGCAGCTCCCCAAAATCTTTTTTTTTTTTAAAAAAAAAAAACAAAAAAAAAATTAAATAAAAAAAACTTTCAAAAATCTATATATATAAGTTATATATATTATATATATATATATAAGATACAGCACTTTTTTTTAAACGATTATATTAACGAAACGATTAAAAAAAAAAAAATTTTAAAATATTATTAATATTCATATTCTTCACTCATAACTCTATAATAACTTTAAAAAAAAAAATGTCATTTTATTGTTTTGAAACGAGACAGGACCGAACTCTTGCACCGTACCCACCTCCAGAGTGTAGCCAACAACTTGACCGGATGTCACCGTCAGAAATAGTGGACCATATAATCGCAACGAATATTGACCCATCAACACTAGTAAAAATTGAAAAACAAATTGCAGTACCTCTTCGTCAACTAATTTCACCAAGAGAAAATCGACGTAGACGATGTATTCCGAGACCTCAAAATAATTTTGTATTATACAGAAGAAATTTTCATGCAGTAATTACCAAAGAACGAGGTCATGCAGTAGCAAAGAATTTTAAACTTATTTCAAATGAAGCGGCTAAAAATTGGTCAGAAGAAAGTAATGAAGTTAAACAACTTTATGAATTAATAGCGGATTGTGCAAAAAAAGTTCATGACTGTACTTATCCACAATATGTTTATCAACCTAAACATAAATCTTCAAAGAAAGGAAATAATACAATATTTAGAGAAGTTACTATGGACACTTGTAAACAACGATCAGAAAAATCTAAATCTGATCGTAATTCAAAAACAGAAAAAACGCAAACAAAACCAACAAAGTCATCAACAAAGTCAGCTGCGGCATCCATGACATTAACCATGACAACATTATTAGATACATCAGTAAAAACAGAACCATCGATTACATCATCTTTTAAAGCATCACCTCAATCTGAACGGGAGACATCAATAAAAGAATATCCACAGCAACATTTAATTAAAGAATGGCGTTGGGCTCATTATGGTCAACCGGAAACACGTTCAGTTCATAATGATCAATATAAAGTAGCACCTCAATCACCTAAAGCAATGCAAGGAATCGAAAAGATTCCATCAATTACCACTCATCCACC